TGCAAGAATGCAAGTAATTTGAATAATAAAAGTACTGCCATAATTAGATGCATAGTATCTTAGCACATCGGTAAAAATAGGATAAAGAGGTGTTCGATTGAGTGCTCCTGTGCGTAGCAAACACGCGCAAGATTTGGAATATCGCAAACTCTGTTTTGGCCAACGATGGATGTGTCCAAAATTAGTTCAAACAGATGCTACCGACACAATACCGAAAGGATTCTTGCTTTTGTTGGTCTAAGCACATTACATTGCACTTCTATTGAAAAATGTTTTGGCAACTATGCGTTATTTTTGTAATAAACTGTTCTCGTTGATCATTAGTTTAACTCTCATTTCACTGTTTGTACAAATCAAAAGACCACAAATTAACGTAATCAACGTTATATTATAAACGAATGCATTAGTTACATTGAAACTATAGTTTAGCATAAGAACTTTGGCATAGTTTGATTGTATTTGTCGGCTCGACCTAGAGAGCAAACCATGTTTAAATATTTGCCATATTTCCGGCAGTTAACATTATCAATGTATATATCGTTAGCCTGCATTATATTTGCTAAGCGTTTATATATTAAGCATTGGTAAATACATAGTAGCGTTTTTTCCAAATATTTTTTTACCTTTCGACTATTTGTTTAATTTTATATACGATCCAAAACTGCTGCTTTCCCATAAGTCTACTGTAATTTCATTAAAAAGTGAACAACATTTCATCTGGAGTTCAGGTTCCAACGTTAGATGTTCTTCGTGAAAAAAAATGCATTTTCACCTGAGTCTTATATTTCGTCTCTACCAAGATCAAAGCGTCAAAGGTTGCCGTGTACGGCGTGAACTCTATGCCTTAGACAATTGCTTGAAGGTGGTTTGCGAAGTCAAATAATGGCCTATTGGAATTGGAGAGGTGCCCCCCACGACCGGCCGTCTGGGGCAGACAAAGACCACTTAAAAACGACTTTCAAGGAAGTGGCCAACCAACAACCTGTGAATTGACCAAGAAAATGAACTGCACTCAAGTGACTATCGTCAGACATCTCGAATGCATTTTGATCTAATCAACAATTAGGAGCCTGGGTTTTTGTCCACAGACTGAATGAAGCATAAGTAGATACGATTATTTATAGTTTTTCAGCAGCTCGCCCGACATTGGACAACCTAAAGATTTCTATATACATGACAAGAACTAGTATTTTTACGTCGGTATGAATCAAGGAATGGAACAGGCGGATCTAGAAGATAGGTCTAAGCCCAGAGTTGAGCCAAATCGCCATCCCAAGAACACATGCTTTGCGTTTAGTGGAGCTAGAAGGGGTTTATGCACTAGGAGAAGCTAGATAAAAACAGGGAGTCAAGAAGAATCTGTGTATGGCCAAGTCAGGTCCAGTAAACATGGCTATTCAGCAGAAAGTATTTTCTATAGAAAACGGTCATTCCTCCACAATGACAGACTTCACATCGCAATGCTCCGTAAAGCCTCCTTAAAAATGTTGAATGGAAGACTCCTTTGCATCCTCCCTATCTTCCGACCCCTGTATTGACGAATCCGACGTCACTGTCTACGCCTTTCTCCCGTCTCTCAATCAATATACCTATTCCGTTATGCCAGCAGTTTTGAAGTTGGATGTCAAAGGCTCGTGAAGCGTTATTTTGAAAAGCGCTTTATTATAAAATGTACTATCACGAATTCGAGCGAAAATTTGCATTTCTTGTTAGGCAGCATATTTAATAATTTGTAATGAGCTCAGATGCTCAATCATGCGTACCTCTAGAACTTTCAATCTTTATTTTTATCAGACGTATCGATCATCCTTTGAAGTTTTTGCCTATAGAATCTGTTACCTTTTTTGAAACCAAAATTGCATCATGATATATTACACAAACTTGACAGTAAGGGTCTCATTGTGTTTTGATTTGGGTTCGCGTGCTGCAAGTGAAGCCTTCACTAAAGTGCTAATATCTTTTTCATGCTCTCGACAGAAGTATATTCCAATTCCCATTTGTGCACATTTTTCTTTGAAGGTTAGCTCTTTCATTATTTAGTACACTTTCTGCTTCATGCCAATTGCTTCATTTTCTCGATTGCCACTGATTGACTGACATTGGTTGCATCCTAGTGTTGTTGAAGCTGTAAGTTGAACAGTGTTATTGGCTATTCCTTTTACCTAGATACTGAGATGTGAGGGCATCTATTGAGGGTAAGCTTAAAGCTCACAAACTTGCAGCACTTCGGAAAAGGTCGAGCAAGGTAGGCATTGTTACCCTCGAGACTGCACATAAAACCTCTAAAGGGACTTTAGAGTCACTAAATATAAGTGTCCTTGTTTCTTTGATCCTAGATTAAACACAGCCTAGCCCCGTAAAACTCAAATGTTGATAAACTTTTACGGTTCTTTGCATAAACGATAGTTTGTTTTAGTGAATCTTGTGGAATCATTGTATAGATGTTTCACATTAATTCCTTTCACGATACCCGTCTGTGACGATAACCCTTGAGGAACTTGTCACCAGTAGGTTCATATCAATCTATGGAGGCACCGATACCTGTTATATACCATGACTCCTCTCCAGTGGGATATCATATTGGCTAATGTTTGTGTCGTAAACTAGGACGGGCGTTCTAGCTAATCAACTTTTAGTAGAGCTCCGCAGTCGCTCATCTAACTCAGTACCAAGTACTCCCAGGAACACTGGCGTCGCAGCTGTACAAGCTCAGTTCGCTTCATGCGGGTACAGTTTACTTGCCAGTTATCTGAAGCACAGATATTTATTCTAGTATGCATTACATTCATTGAATTGATTGAACAAATATTGTTCCTTGCTAGATTTATCTTTGTAATAACAATCCTTGCTTTACAATAACACTTAGCTATCTTGATCGCATTAAGTGGCACGAATAACTCGCGTTATTTTCCGTAGATTTTTACGAATGTTTTCAACCCTGCTTGCAGCCCGCTTCAAGATTTTTGGTATACTTTTAATCGATTAGGTAACGTCTTGTAAATAAACCCCGAGAAACCTGGTCATCTTGCTTTGCTTAGTCAACGTTCCATTACATTCTGCCTTCACATGTTGACCTTGGCTAATGTTGAAAACATTGCCCTAGTGTCGCATGCCTCAGCGGCCAAAGAGAAAGAGTTTAAAATGTGCAGATCACACTCTTGAGTGCCGTTTGTAGTTCTAGGGTAGGATTTACCAATTTCTTTTTACCAGGGAAATGCAAAGCTCTCCATCCTCTAAGCACTGTGACAAGCACGCACCGTTAAAAACATGTTCTCCCCTAATATACAATCAAGTAGCATATATGTGACAACATTTATTTTTTATAGATTCGTGGGTTTACGAAAAAAATAGGATCGTCGCCAGGATATGCGTAATCGTACCCGTGACCTTTAAGCAGATTGTCGATTAAGTGAATAAGTGTAAGTCAAAAGGGTTCAGCTAACTTTCAATACGTAACGTTACCATTTTAATAAAGCTCAAATAGATGAAGTTGACCAGATATACGTATTCGTTGACCCTAGACGTTAATCTTACCATGGTTCGTGTCTTTCAGTAAATGCCTGCAGAATTCGCTTTGATTTGCTAGTTTCTAGACGTCAAACGTTGTGAAGCTATATAACATACGATATGACTGTAACAGGATTAATTTTTTTCAAATGTGACTTAAGCCAGCTAACTTAATACCACATGTGTATGGCACAAAACCGACGCATTCTGAGGTGCAAGGAGAAAAGAACATGAAAACACATTAATGGTTGTCGGTACGCTCAAGCGTATCATGATAACCACTCTTTTAAATAACTCAATAGAGTTGTGATTTTTCACTCGTGAGATACCTGGAAGCTTTGTACCTTATTAACTGTTTTGGCTTCTTGAAAGTGAAATACGTTTGCCTTGCCTTGTTTTCTTTTTGATGGAAACCTTAGATAGTTGTGGATTAAACGTAGCTTGACAGCAAATTCACTATCGGATTTCTTTCCATGTCTAGCTCTTCCTTTTTATAGAAGCTACTATGAAAAGCGTGACCGGTAAACGTATGGAAAGGTTGTTCTTTTTCTGAATAGAAGTCTTGCTCTTTGCCTAGGAAGGAAGCGATCGATTGGGCAAACATCTCGTCATCGGGATGCGCCGATGCGCCGTTCCCCTTGGCATCCGTCCTCCGACTCTTCGGGAATTGAAGTAGAAAGCGCTAGGAGACTGAGGAGAGTCCGTTGGGAAGCCACTCAGAGACGGACATCTCAGCAGCCAGCGACAGAAAGATGATAGAGGCCCAAGCGGCGACGAGCCAAAGAGTTGGCTACACCCAGTCAGCTACTAGCGATGCTCCTCCCACCACCCAGAATTGGCGGTGGGCTCTCATGCGAGTCCACACATCGTCGTACACAAAAACAGCAGCTGCTGCCGTTGCACACTATTAGTCTCTAACGCTAACCGGTGGCTAGGGTTAACAGATGAGGACGCAAGCGCCTATATTCTAATACGGCTGAAGCTGCCATTCGCTGTTTCAATGCATGTGGCAGAACACAAACAAAAACTTTTATCTATTGAAATGTGTATATAATTTTCTACATAATAATACACTAGAGCTTGGCTTCGTATAAAAATCTTTTACATACCTAATGCACAAAAATGAATTGATTACTTCCTATAAAAAAAACTGAAACATTGGAAGCGTTCACCTATTCCTTAGTTGTGAGCGCTTCAGTGAGTCCTACCGACGAGTGCGTAGTTACGTTAGAACGAGTATCTTAAACCCTCCGAATCTGTTAGTTCGTAGCCTAGTGGACTATCCTGAAAGTAATGTTCAGTTATGAATAATTAATAACTGAATTATTCAATCACTTTATTTTCAGTTCATTGCTGCATACTACCAGCAATGTACAGAAACACCAAATCATTAAATTAAAGATGTGAACAGATTTAAACTGAGTAGTTGCTATTTGATTTAAAACACTTGAAAATAATATGCGTGGTAATCTGACTGAGATAGATGACGTTGTTGCTAAAATGCGCTAAAAAAATATGTGTTAAAATTGAGTTTACTAAAGTTTAAGATAGAGCGCATTGAGGATGAGTAAAACTGCTACAGAACTTCGTTATATGTCATAGTTTTATTACGATAAAGACACAAATGCTTCCCGGACCCCAAAGGATTAACCCAAAAATGTGTCTGTCGCTTTCGTTCTAGAAATTTTGATGTATAGGATACACTTCTTAGTGGGCGACCGGAAGAAGTTTGTAAGGAGGTTGAGAGAGACCGACACGTAAATAGCCATGATATTGCCAAAGAATTAAAGATCCACCACTAAACAGTTTTAAACCATTTAAAAATAGCTGACTACTCAAAAAAGCTCAATGTTTTGATGCCATATTAATTGGCGCAGATGAGTTTACTTCATCTTATTCCCATCTGCGAAACTTCATAGAACCGCAAGGTAGTCAAGTCATTTCTAGAGCGCTTGATCGCGGATGGTAAAAACTGAATCACATACGACAACATTGTGCAAATAAGAAAAAAGAAATAAAATGTGCTCAGTAATCTGTAGCAAAGCCCAGACTAACGCTAAAGAAGACGATGTTATGCGTTGTTGTATTGTGGATTATGAATTGCTACCGCTTAGACAAACGATTGGCTCTGACATTTACTGTTAATAACTAACAAGATTACGACAAGCCATTAGAAAAAATCGACTGGAACTTGTAAAAAACGTACTCGTCCGCCAGGACAATACCCGACTGCATATACATTTAGCTACCCGACAAAAATTGGGAGAACTTGGATTGACAAATTCAATGCATCTGGCGTGTATCCCGGATTTTTAATAAAATTATTATCTCCCCGTATAAAATTATTATCTAGTTCGGTCTCTGCAGAGCACCCTTAATAATGTTAATTTATTTTCAATGAGATATGCAAAAATCACTTGTCATAGTTTTTGGCCCAGAAACATTTGAAGTTCGTCAGTGATGAGATTATGGTGTTATTGGGAAGCCAGCAAAAGGTTATCCATCAAAATGGCGCATATTTAGTGAAGTAATATTATTTTAAACTTTGAAACATATTTGCTTTAATTCTAGCTTAAAAACGGTCAATACTTTTTTTTGACAACCCGGTATGATATGTCTGAAAGACAGGCAAGCTTCGAATATATTTTCGTACCGACTAATAGGAAAACACAAGAACTTCACACATATTATAGTAGCTCTGGGCAATAAAGATCCTGATAGTCATTGTTTCAAAATTGAGGGTTTGGAAATCAGCATGCTGCTCTTTTGTTTTTCAACTTAGCGAAAAAACTTCATTAGGATAGATGTAAACCTTGAATGATAGCAAAATGAAGGTTTCTAGAAAATGTTATAAAATGCAAAATGTATTTGTAGAGAACAATATGTACCACTTATCTCTACCCCCACTAGAAGGGTCTATTAATACGCCTGTTGGTATTCTAACAGAAGGGCCGCATTACAGAGCTCTAGATTAGTTCTTACTGAAAAGCTACTACGACCTGCTACATTTTCACGAAAACCCAATGGTTTCTCTAAAAAGTCGTGATTTTTCTTATTTTACGTTTTTAACAAAACATGTGTCTTCGTATTAAGCAACTTTTGTCTGAAGAATGTTACGAATTCTCTTACATGCATAACGATCAAGTGTATCAGGAACTTAATGCTTAAGTAGATATGCAAAAATCTGATTACGTTCTAGTGCAGCAAACTCAATCGAATTAGCACCGAAATTTATTAGACACTGTTTGTACAAACCTGCGATTTGTAATTGACAAAATATATTGACATTATTTACAGATTGTACCGTGTCCGATTCCGAGTCAAAACGCGCGCGTTTTTCGGACACGCAGAGTCCACCAGTGGCCTCATCCTCATCGCCCGCACTGCCTCCTCAAGTGGATGTGGACTCCACGACTTCCCAAGCACCTCCTCCAGCTCCTGGTGACCAACTGGCTATATTACAGCGCCTATTTCCACATCAGAAACCCACGTTACTCCATTTACTTCTTCGAAGTTTTAATAATGACCTGGGCAAGGCTCTTGAATATATTCTAAAGTGTGAGAACTCATTACATGTGCCTCCCCTCATGATATCAGATGATAGCTCTGTTGCATCTACAACTGCAAGTGCCGGATCCTCTTCTACTACTGATGTTTCTTCCCGTAGCAGCGCTTTCCGTCCTTTGTGGAACCCCTTATTGCCCAGGCTCGATCTACCATCGTATCCTTTGTTTCCAGTGGGCGTAGGGATTGGGGTTGGTTATCCCAACTGCCCGCCTGGATGCGCTCAGTGTCCACCGTTCTTACCTCTTGTCACTCCTCCATCTGCACCGAGTAGTACAGATGATAAATGGGTATCCCCGGAAGAGCTTTTAAAACGTGATTCTGATTGAAACGATAAGTGGAAATAATAGAGGCGTAGATGAAGCGACACACTCTAATTAGCTCCGCGAGGAGTCTACATAGAGTCACATATATATACAGAAGCCAACAAATTGTGTAGTTAGGCTGAGCATTGATTGTTCGCTATGATATGGTATTGTATAGTAGTATATAAGACTCACAACAAAAATTTAGGGCTACGATGATGATAAAGAAACATAATAAAGATAATAATAAGGGTAATAAATGATGCTGCCGCGAGATACAACCATGTGAAGGATGTTAGTGCTTTTTTATTACAAATCGGGGTGGGGTAGAACCAAACTTTATTGTTGAACGTTTAGTAAATTAATGTAGATACTCTATCTAAATTACATTCAGGGAAAATATGCAAATGACAGTTTCATATTTTATGCTCTAAGATCATATAACGTTAAGTTGTCCTGATCTCTCAATCCATTCGATTTCTATATTGCGTAACCCTAATGAGATATGTTTTTGGTCTACAAGTGCCATAATGATAATAGTAATAATAATCATAATAGTAATAAAACTATTGCGCTTATAATAAATGGCGATTGGATACTGCGGAAACTCTTATCTGAAATATCTTGACATGCATGAGGTGTGCCTTTTATTAATAGCCAGTCTTCTTTAACTTATGCTTCGTGTTACAATGCGACATTCAGTCGGTGAGAAGCTCAATGTTTATGAACTTCTTTATGCCTAAAGCAGCCTCGATGTCACTGATAGCTTTGCGTAGAACTTAGTTCAACAAAAAGAGTGATATATATTCTATCACGCAACAGAATACTTAGTCATCGTAAAATATGAGCAATCGTTTTTATAGTTTCCTTGGCACATTCCTAGCAAAATGTCGATAATGAAAACTTTTACAAACTATTTCAGCTATCGGATACAATCTGGATGCTCGCATATATTAACGCGCAAGGGATCACTCCTCGTTGATTGCTTCAATCACATCAGAGTCTATCAAATGTGTCCTATCACTTTAGTTACTAATGCAATTACATGACTGAGCCTTGACACCTGCCCATTTTGCTATCACTCTGTTCGTTATTTTCAAGCGCCCATCTCTTGTCAAAAGAACAATGCTTGCGAAATCAGTTCCACGCTAGTGACACATCTGTCCAATTTCTGCGGAGCGCTTACCGTATCCCTAAACCTCAAGTTGTAGCCATATATGCCTTAGCCGGCCTTCACTCATTCGCTAGATAGACACAACCAAACAATGTGTATATACTTGTATAGCCATATGTCTATATACCTGTATATATATAACTTCCGATTGGATTTGGCCAGACAAAGGTAGCAATGGAGCGCGAAGGATGGATATCAAGACGTAGGCACGGACATCAACACCACCCAAAACACTCAACTAGCTTGGTTCTAGTGGAGCAGCGCAACCCCACTAGGACAACCCTCACTTAAGGTGCATTCTTTCTCGTTCCCTGTCAATGGTAAAACAAGCGGCGCCAATGACCCGAAAAATGGGTGAACAGCAGCATTCGACACCCACCGACTGACTACAAAGTAAGTTAGTTGGTGGTAGGCAACGATGATAGGAGTAGATCAGTCGCGGGTTCGGGGTTCAGCGATGGGGAAACGACACGGGGCACCGGCCAGCTCTCGCGCGAGAGGCTCCTGCTGCCAACAAGTAAGCAGTGGCAGGCAGACAGACAGGCAGTGGCTACGATATGCCATTGCACACAAGAGTCCCTTGGGTATCAGCAGCGGTCGGCGGGATAGTCAGGGTGCTAACTGGATCATCTCATCTTCGTTTGCACAGAGCGTAACATCGAAAGAAGTGAGAGGTTCCTTGGACTTGTGTTGAAGGCAGGCAGAATGGCTTCTGGGCACTGATGCTGTCCTGCCGTAAGCTCGGCCTGAGCAAGCAGGCGCCAAAGAGAAATAAAGGAGCAAAGGAGAGGTTAAGGAAAACCGCACCGATAATTTACATCATTCTAAGGTAAACAGCCCAGGGCAGCGGGATACGCTAAAGCTAGTTCAGAAAGGCCGTTGTAGATACGGCGGGTTTGAAGTTCCTTGTTGATGCACAACAGGAGTCCTTGCAGGCACGACACATAAGGCTATACACTGATTTGCAATGTGTATTAAATGTGCATAAACTCGCTGATACTCTCTTCATCTAAATTTTGTAGAAACTAACTATAAGAGACATAACATATATATATACAGATGTATATATCCCCCCGCCCTCCTTTATATATGTATATATAGGGGTTATATAGGTTAAAATTTACTTAATGTTATTATTGAAAACAATGACGAAAGAGAAACAAATTATATTAGTATATTCACCAAACATATTTTCTATTGCGTGCACTATAAATAATTCATTTTTTGCAAAAGTAATAATTGCTCTATATAGCCCCACAAGGTGGAATCTAATAGATTAGAAGTAGCGCTACATGGGTTACTCTTGATTTCATGCAAAGAAGTTAATGATTAACCCAAGTTAGAAGAAAATTAATTTTTTAGAAAGGACTGTGATTATTACTGTGATTATATTTATAATAATTTACCGCCAAATTAAGCCGATCAAAGATTATGATTTGTTTACTAGCTATCTACATGAAAGTTCTGCTGAATAGTGTATAATTGGGTTTTGAATGGTCTATCACACCCACAAATCGCATTTTGTTTGAGAATTAAGAAGGTGGCACAGTGCGCGTACAGGTCTCAGAGGCCAAGTTGAACACATTGACACATGCATGGCTATCGTGGTTACACATTATTTTGATATAAATAATTACCTGTGGTAAATTCTAATCCATGGTTGTGACTATTCGCAATGTGATGCATATGTTGGTAATTTTGCATTATCGAATGGTGCGCTGTGCTAATAAGGTCATCGCTTTTTTTAAATGCAACAACATATGGTACGTCGTCAACAAATATGACGCGTGGTACCACAAGTTCAAAAATACAATTCCTTCATCTAACTTGACATATCTAGCTTAGTAAAAACACACACATGCGTTTTTACTAAGCTGAATTGTATTCTGGGGCCATTTATTTCTTTTATTTTATTTTTAGAATTAGTGTCGATGGCATAGGGTTTCATTCATGTTCGAGATGCAACGATTTCTGTAAACCCAACACTGGTGCATATCATTTCCAGGGCAGTCATGTAATATAACCCTTTTTTATTTTTCTATATGTATATATTTTTTTTATTATTATTTATTACTTATTTAATTATATTATTTAAGCAATTTGCATTCAGGTTGCTTTTAAAAATGTAAGTTTAAGACGTTGGTAAGAAGATGATAATGGAAAAACGAGTTTATTATTTTAGTTCTTTCCTGTTCAACAAAAGTTTGGTGCATTGTTGAAAAATACTTATATGCCACGTATTATTCCACCTTTTGAAATTTGGTATATACGCGCGTAGATGTTATTATTCTGACCTTTAGTTGGTAGGTTGAAAAATGGGAAATCAGGAAGTTTGAGAGGTTTACGAGTGCGAGTTTTTCTTGGAAGCTACGACGGAAATGCGGCTTGTCGTATAAGCCTTGTATTCGAGGAAGGAGTTACTATTCGAAATTACGTGAGCCGCTAGCTTAGAAATCCAGAAAGGACATTTTAAATGTGAAAATTAATTTCGTAGAAGACCCACTAAGAGTGTAAGTAACGAAATATTGAAAGCTGTGGTAAAAGTGGACCCGTCTTAACATACTTAAATCTTAACTAAAATTCGATGTGTATAAAAATATCATACTTGTTCACCTCAGTCAAAAGATTAAGAAGTGCCTAAATTTCTTTGTTCTCACCTTTAACAGTTACCCATTCTTGCATTGAATTATAACCTGTGATAAAAAGGTGTCTTTTATGATAATTGAACGGCCGCCTCAGTAAGTGGATGCAACTGAAGCAGCAAGACATCATTTTGAAGTAAATGTACTGGCATAAACATCTGGTGTCTATTTGGGAGCTTATTGCAAGTGCTATATACCAAAGTTTTATGGTTCGTCGATAGTAAATGGTTCGAGTGGGCTGGTAAAAAGTGGAGAGGACGATGAATCAGTTCCGTATTAAGCAGCTACTGTTGGTGAATAAAATCTAAGCCATTTTTTTGCACGGCAACGCTTAACTTCACACTACAAGAATCACGGAGGTAAAAACGCAAAAGCTATAGTATAATCAAAAGACATTACTTTCACAGGCTACCTTGTTTTCACAATTTTATTTACTTGTTCATAAGAAAGTTGCTCAGATATTAACGTGATGACGAAATTGTCTGTTTATAGTTCGTTTGCAACAGATATATATATATATACATACTGCCATCCAGCCAGACGACACACAACAATTATGTATACTTGAATGAAAATAAATAAACTACGTTTATGAAAAAAAGTTTAAGAGGTTAGAGTTTACTATCTCAATTTTAATATTAAGCGACAAAATATCCATTTATAAGCTTATTGAAGAAAGTAGCACAATGTTTCAAATATTTTTTAATAAAGCTTATTTTCTATTATCACTGATTGCCAACTGCGAACATACATCCGGTGACAACTAGATATACCTGATATATTTTACTCATTGCTTAGAATAGGTGTAAGCACCTAACACTCAACAGGTAATTTTCTCGCCGATGTAACTTTAAACTGCCTTTGCTTTTACTAACTTCTATGCTCATCTATCACTATCAGTACCAGGAAGATACTGTAGCGAGCGTTTTTAATGAATCTGGCAGACAGTCCCGGGCATGTAGGACATTTTTCTTTTTTAACTGTGGCCAACAAATGGTGAACCGGTTTTTAGTACTGTTACTCATGCGGACCGTCGCTGCTTAGATGCGCCTACACATATTCCGTAGCATTTAAGTTACACGACCGGATTTCGAGATGAAGAAGTTTTTGAGGTCAATGTTTCGTAAACATGTGACGTTCAAAATCGTTTTTGTTTTTTTGTGTAGAATACTGAAACAAAACTGAGCGGCCGTGGAGGCTTCTATACTCCTGATACTGCTGCCACTCTTGAAAAATATGCTGATCCTCAAATGTGATCGATAAACACTTAATCTTTTATCAACGAAATCTAGGAGCACATGTAATAATGGGTATGCTCCATACTAACTTACTGGAAACTACTATAAGAAATTGTTTGTAACCTCTAAATATACGCACTTTACGGTTTCAGCTCCCCAAAGAATAAAAAAAGGGTTACT